TTTCCTCTATTTCTTTGCATTGATCACTTAGGACAGCTTTCTTGTCTCTCCTTGCTATTCTTTGGGACTCTGTATTCAGATGGGTATATCTTTCCTTTTCTCCCTTGACTTTAGCTTCTCTTCTTTTCACAGCTATTTGTAAGGCCTTCTCTAACAACCAATTTGCCTTTTTCCATTTCTTTTTCTTGGCGATTGTCTTGATCACCACCTCCTGTACAATGTGACAAACCTCTGTCTGTAGTTCTTCAGACACTCTTTCTATCAGATCTAATCCCTTGAATCTATTAGACACTTCCACTATATCATCGTAAGGGATTTGATTTAGGTCATACCTGAACGGCCTAGTGGTTTTCCCTACTTTCTTCAATTTAAGTATGAATTTTGCAATAAGGAGTTCATGATCTGAGCTACTGTCAGACCAGGACTTGATTTTCTACCATCATATGGAAAACCAGTTAAGCATGTTATGTTTGCAGGTAAGGAAGAAATATGGGTTGCTGTTCATTTAGGACCCATGGAAGAGATTGGAGAAAATGGAGTAGGTATGCCAGCAATGACTCATTAGGTAGAAAGAGAATGTTAGAGATCAGATACTACTGCTACTTGTTAAATAAATTAATCATAGCCCATAGACAGACATTTACTATCTAAAGGTACCTATGCCTAACCACTGAGAAAAGGCACCCCCAAGTACTGTGTCTTCAGGGAAAAAACAAGGGCTCATTCCTCACGGCTTAACAGCAGCTGACAGAGGACATCCTAGGTTTGTGGGGATGTGTAGGGGAGAAAGAAGCAAGAAGTATGTAAGTACATATGTATGTATGTACATATTTATATTATTGATAAAAGGAGAAGCCATTTATTCCTATGCATATTATTGTTCTAATATAATATCAGGTGTTTTACATAAATTGTCCCATTCAATCCCAGAATGACTCTCAGATATAGATACATGCTGTCATCATTCCCATTTTACAGATGAGAAAACTAAGTGTTACAGAAGTTAAGAAACTTACTCAAGGTCAAATAGCTTTTAGGTGGTGAAGCTATAAATTGAGATTAGATTTGACATCCTGTGGTCCCAACTGCTCAACTAGATACTGTTATATTCCCTCTGCTACAACCCTAGTAGTCTCAGTCATCATCAGGTCATACTTCTGTAGTGCCAAGAGCCTGAGAGTCCTCTTTTCCTACAGAGTTCCCAACAGTCAGTGAACTTCCTAAGACATAAATCAGACTCTATCACTTTCTTTATCAACCATCTAGCAGCCCTCCACTGCACGTAAGATGAAATCCCCGTTCTTAGCGCACAAGTCCCTACAAGACCTCCTCTCTGCCTCTCCGGTCTCAGTCTTCTCTCTGCTCTGCTCCTCTCTGACTGATTTCGATTTACACTCAGCCTTTGGCAGTTCCTCAGCACACTCTTCTTGTTCTTGCTTCATGACATGGCAATTTGCTGTTCTCCCTAAAATGCTCTTCTTCCAAATCTTCACACAACTGACTGTATCTCATTCTTCAAATCTTGTTTCAGATATCAACTCCTCAGAGAAGGTTTTCCCACACCCTTTAGCCAAAGCAGCTCTTCTCTGCCCCACACCAATACCATGAACCACCCCTTCGCCCATGAAAATAGAAATTACTTGATGGCAAGAACTATTGACTTTACGTCCTTCTCTGTAAGTCCAGAACCAACAATATCTGACACTTCCTAGGCACTCAAGACATATTTGTTTCCTGAAATACTAGTATCTTTCTTAAAGTGTCATACTCATATGTATATATACATATGTATATGCACACACACACAAATATATATGCTTTTGTGAATTATGGGAGTTTGATGTCATCTCATAGAAGTGAAACGTCGTACACCCCCCCCCATCCCAAATTTCATCTCAGTGTCAAGACTAATGATGCCACACATACATCAAGAAAATATGAAAATGATTGTTACTCACATAATGAGTTATGCATCAAAAATAGAGTTAGGCCAATAAAAAAAGAGAAATAATAGTAGCTGTGAGGTGATGGGTAATTAGATGATTGTAATTTTTTTTCATTCTATAGATGTAGGTATGGATATAGACAATCAAAACATGAAGTTCTATACCTTAAATATTTGCAATTTTAATTTGCCCATTATAACTCAATAAAATTGAATAAACAATGGGATCAATCTGTATTACAATTTACCCATGATGTTTGTTTGACAAAGAATTGAATAGTTATTTTAATTTAGACTTATTTATGGAAAACATTTTGGCAACTGCAGCAAGATACCAGTAAAGCAGGTTGGTGTCCCATTGAATATCTTGTTCAAGAGTTACTATTCTGTATTCTGAATAGCAAATTGAGTGTCTAGGTTTCATTCAACGTGTAGAACTCCAAAGAGAATAAGGAGTGCCATCATGAGACATTGTATTGTGACTTTAATATGTGTAGAAAATGTGTGATCTTGATTTATATTTTGGGTATAATCTCTCAGGATGCAAGAGATTCCATGAGGCCTTTACCCTAAGTGAGACAACCTCAGATAGGAGTTGTTTGACTTGGTCAGAACAGATGGTCAGCCCATGGGCAGTGTAAAGATGAGGCCAGTTGTTGGCCCAGACATTGTGTGCTAAGGTAGCTACCTGAAGTTTGGCTGTTTGATCTGACCTTTGGGGCCTGTCCTTTATCAGGAACATTCTGATGAAGAGCTGAAAAGCAGCAACTCTCAAGCAAGCTCCATCAAGTGTGATAGTGACGATAGCATTGATTAAGGGAATGAACTCCCTTTGGTTTTTGCTGTTTTGATCCTAACAGGCTCCCCATGTGTCCAAGGGTTCTCACAGAAGAACTCTTGTAGCAGTGTGACATCCGAGGGGGGCTGAGCACAGGGGAAGGTACCCTCTCCTGAAGATAGGGTATGCAGAGGACCCAGGTTCAGCTCCATCCTGTAGCAAGGAGGCCTCACTAGCTATGCTGAGCTTGCAGAGTGATACTTCCATAATCAAAGGCCAAATGGGCAGCTGGATATGGAGGGTCATAGGTTCAAGACCTGAGATAGTCTGTATTTCCAGGCAAGTCCAGCATAGACCCAAAATTGCTACACTACAGTCATATAGCATGGGGCCAAGGTGGGCAGTTCCTTATATCAGAGGCCCCTGAAACTTAACAGCCATTGTTGACAGTACAGAGACTCCAAGATACATGAGAGAAGGTTGTTAAAGCTTGCACAGTGAAGGAGTTTCAGTGGACCCTAATAGGAGTACCTGTTCTATGGCAATTCAGGCAGATTTAGAATCTTTGACATAGGGAATCTCATTCAAGGCGGGCCTGTTTGGAAGTTACCGAGCCAAAAACTGTGTATATGAGGAAATGTTGCCTCCAGAATGTAAAAATGTCTAAAACATGTTGGGCTTGTTTTAACAGTATGGGTACTAAGAAGCCTAAAAGCTGTATCTGGACGCTGAAGATTGGAGCAGTCCAGCACTTACCAAAACGTTTTCAGGAACTTAATTGACGTGGTGGGATTGTGTAGTGTGTGTGTCGTAGGAATCTCCTCAAAGGAGGATGTCATCAGTGTGAGGTCCTAATTGTGTACCTGGAAAAAGATAGAGCTGGTGAAAATATTGCCTTCAGAGACTGTGTGAGATGGCAGGTGTGGACACTGGCCCCATTGAGTAGACAGGTAAAGGTGTATCGTTTCCCTGTGAAGGTGAAGGTTAAGTGTAGCTGAGAAGTTTTTGAAATAGGCAGTGAAAACAGCATGCTAGCCAAATGTTTTGTTATGACTGAAAAGTATTTACCAATTATTCGTTGAGAGCAGTATTATCAGCAAAATACGTGGAGCCCTAGTGAGTGGGGCCACGAAACCAAGCGTAGAAGTTCACACTGAGGCCGTGTTCTTGTTTTACAGCTTTAAGATCAAGTAAAATTTGTTAAGTGCAGCAGAAGTTGGGATAATCACACCTTGCTAAGTAGTTTTCCTATAATGGGTTTCAATCTGTAAAGACCCTGCTTTCACTGAGATTGAATCTTTTTAAAAACAACTGAGGTGAAAAGTGTGATTGGAGCTAAGGGGAAAGGTCCATAGGGTCTCATATTTTAAAGGTGATTATAGGGGCAAAGACTTAATTTTATTACTCATTGAGTTAGATTATCCACGTGTACTAGAGGCTATATGGGGGTAATGGATGTTTTGGCTATGGGAAGTGTAGGCAAGGCAATAATTCCAGTGGTTAAGTTTAGGTATATCTGTTTCTATTTCATGTTCCTTTATTCCCTGGCTGCTTTTATAGCTTGCCCAAATGTGGGCCAGAAGAGGAACAGACATTGATGAGGGGTAAAAACTCAATTGTCAAACATCAAAAGTGGAATCTGATTATTACACAGGGCCACCAACCCTACATAACCCCTCTCCCCACATGGGACCTCTGAAACACACAGAAATACCAAGTCCTTTTCCTTCTCACCAGTGGGATGAAGTGTTCAGGAAGAAATCTTCAGTGCTCAGAAATCTTCAGTCTGAAGTTCTCAGTCTTCACCCAGTCCTCATTCCCAGTATCTGAGTAAGTATGGACTGGCTGGTCTGGGCCCTAAACGGAAAGGATGCCACCTCCCTCCCTCTCACACACCTGACCCTTCCCTTCCTTCCCTCCCCATCATCAAAAAAACAGATACACACACATCTTTTTACAACTTGTTGATACTTTAATCATTGAGATCTGAGTACTTTGGTCTGTGCAGAGGGGACCATCGTTGTATGTTTGATCCCTGCACAAATGCCTATTCTGCCACTGCTTTTCCTGGAGCTGCAGGCAATTGGTCAGCGTCTTGGGCTCCAGGTGGGCACAGGGGCTTACTGTGGAGAATTGTTGGGAGAAGTGCTGGAAGAATCCTCCGGGATTTCTTCATCTGCCATCAGGTGATTTTCATTGTTCTTTTCATTCTGAGGGTGGTGGTAGAAGATTAGTATTGTCGACTTCTTCTCTTGCTCACTCACTTCCTGAATCTGCTCAAGGGTCGAGCTTACCTCCCTCATGAGCTTGAACAGCTGGTAAGAAAACAAAGTCATCCAAAAAGACATTAGTGAAGGAGGATGGGAAGGAGAACTTTGAGAGAATGGGTGTGCACTGAGGAGGGATTTGTGCCAGGCAAGGGCAGGGTGCCTCTTGGGTGGGGGATGAAGAGGAAGAACATGAATAGGGTAATCTGACCTTTTTACGGTGCAAGCCGTCTGACGACGGCTCAGAATTCTTTCTCTTCCTCTGCTTTGAGCTCGACGCCTCTTCCTCCAAATTGACACTGTGTATCGCCAGCTCTTCTTCTTCTTCTTCTTCCTCCTCCCCCTCCTCCTCCACTTCCTCAGTTAGGTCTGCCATATTGTAGAAACAGTGGCCTACACCAAGGGCCTGGGGTCTCTATGTATACCTTCCCAGGACAATGAAGAGCCACAACTGTCAGCTGATTGGTCAGCAAGAAATTTCCCCAGCCAATGGTAGCCCTGACATGGTTGACATCACAAAGCACCATTTAGGAACATCCATGGGGGAGGGGAGGCTGCAATGGAGTCCAGGTGCTCTGGTTTGAGAAAGTGAATGCTTCCTCAATAACCACTAAAGAGCCTTCCCAGTTTGACTTTCCGCATTTCCTCATCTTATCCAGTTCAGTTGTTGTGGTGTGCAAGTTAGGGAGCCAGTTTTCCCTCCAAGCCATTATGATCATTATGTAGTGTCCTTCCATGTCCTTTGTAGTACTCTTATTTTAAGGTCTATTTTGTCTGATAGGAGGTTTGGTTCTCCAGCTTTCTTTTGCTTCCCATTTTCATGGAATATATTTTCCCATCGTCTCACTTTCTGTCTGTATGTGTCTTTAGGTCTGAAGTGGGTTTCTTATAGACAGCATATATATGGGTCTTGTTTTTGTTTCCATTCCACCAGTCTGTGTCTTTTGGTTGGAGCATTTAATCTGTTTACATTTAAAGTAATCATTGATATATATGTTCCTATTGCCATTTTCTTAACTGTTTGGGGCTGATTTTGTAGATCTTTTTCTTCTCTTGTGTTTCTTGACAATATAAGTCCTTTTAACATTTGTTGTAAAACTGGTTTGGTGGTACTGAATTCTCTTTACTTTTGCTTGTCTGAAAAGCTTTTTATTTCTCCATCAATTCTGAATGAGATCCTTGCTGGGTACAGTAATCTTGGTTGTAGATTTTTCCTTTTCAGCACTTTAAATATATCCTGCCATTCCCTTCTGGCCTGTAGAGTTTCTGCTGAAAGATCAGCTGTTAAGCCTATGGGGTTTCCCTTGTATGTTACTTGTTGCTTTTCCCTTGCTGCTTTTAATATTCTTTCATTGTGTTTAGTTTTTGCTAGTTTGATTAGTATGTGTCTTAGCATGTTTCTCCTTGAGTTTACCCTGTATGGGACTCTTTGTACCTCTTGAATTTGATTGACTATTTCCTTTTCCATGCTGGGATAATTTTCAACTATAATCTCTTCCAAAACTGAGGAGAGAGGTGGCAGTTTGATGGCGAGCTTCCAGAAAGTTGGAAAATCACGTCCATAGTGTGTAGAGTATCTTGGTGTATTTTCCTGTTGTATATTTGAATTGTTTATATTTTGTAAAGGAGGTTGATCACATTTTTTCTTACATTCACTCATACCTTTCCGTTGTAAGTGTATTAATATTAACATCAAAAGACACAAAATTACTCTTCTGCTGATCAGATTCAGCAGTTTGATGGGAAAAAGCAGTTTCTGAAGTTCTGGCTAAACCAATGAAAAAACTAGTTGCTGAAGTCCTGGCAATAAAACAATAGTTGCTAGGGCCCTGGCAATAAATTCTAAATGAAGCCTGTAGTTTATGCATCCTCTTGGGCATCCATAGATGAGACTGAACACCATATCAAGTCTACAGATTGTTTGCTTAACTTTGCCTTAATGCCAAAAGGGCTATATACCATCAAGCTTAAACCCTGAGAATGGAGAAGTTGATTTGCCCGCAAGAAATTCAACACGTTTTCCTGTTTGTCTGCTGGCACAGTGTTCTTGATTCTCTCAGACCACCATGCCATTTTCTTCAGAGGGACACTTGCACTGCCTAAAAGGAATATTGATGACCAGAACTTTACCTGAAGTCTTGACAAAGCTTCACTCAACTTTATAAAACTAATTCCAGATTTCTTTTACTTACTTTATAGTATGGTGGCCTTATTCCTCAATGAGTAAACCATACATGCTTTATTTTTTTTTTTTTCATACATGCTTTAAAATGTACTTGTAGGATTTCAAAGTCTTGTTACTGATTTTGTACACTGTCAAAAAACCTGTGCCTGGATATGATCTGCTTCTGGGTAAACGCCTCATGGATCCTGAGGTGGTCATATTCTGTTGAAGTGCCATGTAATTCAGGAATTTAGTAATTCTGATATGAAGCTCGTGCCATCTCTGTAACTTAGGTTTTTGCCATCTTTGAGGCAGTGAACGGGTAATGCCTTGTACCTTTGCTTTTAACAAATGATTTGTACTGAGAGACTTTCTTACATCATATAAAAGGATTGAACTTTCAGTCCCACCTTTTCCAGCATGGGTGAGCCCCCCTTGTGGATGGGATATGGTTCTAGTATGGCTATATTAATCCTAGAGCATGTTGATGCTGTCCATTCTGGAGGTCCTTAAAAGAGGTGAATGAGAATTCAATGGTGTGAGAAAGTTTAAAACTGGCCTCTGAGAGAAAAACCAGATTCTAAAGTTTGGGAAAATAAGTTTGTTCAGAACACTGTGTCTAAAAAGAGGAAGCTAAAGATTGCTGAGTTTGGCGGGGGGATGTTTCCTAGGTTGAATTAATGATCTCTGTGGAAGGTGTTGAAGACACAATAATGAGATTTCGTCAACTTGTGTAGCACCTCAGCAGCTGGAGCAGTTGAAGGATGAATTTAGAGGAGGAGAGTGACACTCTGTTTTCCCAATTTCAGATTTTTTTGCTTCTAATAAAATAGTTAAATCTGAACCTATTTTTGTTGGCATCAAAGCAAGAGTTTAGGAAAGAGTGAGGGAAAGTAATTTTCTTTTGAAAGGAGAATGAAGATGCTAGTAGTTTTAAGAGATTAAAATTTTTTGGTGTGGAGTATCGAGTATTGTACATTCTGCATATGCTGCTCTTCAGCTTGTAGCACTTGCAGATGCAGGGCAAATGAAAAGGCGAAGAAGGTTGTGGTATCCATGAGTAAGGCTCTGTCCTCTGGGACAGATAGTTTGGGTGGAATCCATCACTGTTCTGTGAGAAGAAATTCTTGGTGCACAATGAGTGGCTGTACACTGTCTACCTATTACACTGTTATTTCAAATAAAAATTAACAATTCTTAAGTGACTCAGTGACTACTTATTATGGATTTTAATTGGTTCTCTATTTTACAGATCAGGTTTCTGGACAATCTGTGGATATAAAAACTTTCTTTGACACTCTTTATTAGTTTTCTACTGCTTCTTTAAAAAATTAACCACAAGGCTTCCCTGTTAGTACAGTAGTAAGGAATCTGCCTGCCAATGCAAGGGACATGAGTTTGATCCCTGGTCCGGGAAGATCCCACATGCTATGGAGCAACTAAGCCTGTGTGCCACAATTATTGAGCCTGTGTTCTAGAACCCATGTTCCACAACAAGAGAAGAGTAGCTCCTGCTCCCCACAACTAGAGAAAAGTGTAGTAATGAAAACCCAGCACAGCTAAAAATAAATTTCAAAAAATTTAAATTACTACAAAACTAAAACTAAATGGCTTAAAGCAACACAAATTTATTATCTTAGAATTCTGGCAGTCAGGAGTCCAATAGAGGCATCACTGGGCTAAAATCAAGATGTTGGCAGGTCTACAATCCTTCCAGATCCTCTAAGGGGACAGTCTGTCTTCTTTCTCAGCTTCTGGAGGCTACCCGCATTTCTTGACTCATGGCTTCATTCCTCTACCTTCACAGCCCACAATGCTGCACTGAGTCCTCACACTGCCATCTCTGGTTCGCCTACATTCCTTTGCCACTTTTAAGAATCATGGTGAGACTAAGACAAGATAATTCAACATAATCTCCCTATCTGAAGGTCAGCTGATGAGCACCCTTAATTCCCATTTGTCTCCTAACAGTATTGTCACAGGTTCTAAGCATTAGGATGTGGACATCTTTGGGGGACCCTTACTCTTGCCACCACACAATAGTAGAAGGTAATGGAAAACACAACGACAAAGAGTAGAATGATTCAAGACACAGACCGCTGGGAGATCGTTTTAGTAACACCACCAGGTGAAGAACCGAAAGCATCTCAGGTTTTAACCAAGGATGAAGTAAAATTGTAATCCGTAATTAAGCAAAAATCTTGAGACCAGTTACAGAAACAATGTCTATAGTAGCTTTGCATATTTTCTCTATGTCTATTATATGAGTGTGTCTGTTTGTATATACTCAACCATTTTCTTTTTCTCTATCCTGCTTCCTATTTTTATTTTTATATACAAGTTATTGGAAGTTAATTTTACAACTTAGCTTTTAAAGGTAACAATATTCAGTGACTGCCTGACTGAATTGGAGGGATAATTAACAGATCCCATGATGGATGCAATGACTTGGGGCTGAGTCATCTAATTTGGGGGGGAATGGTGGACACATAAAAGGATTGATGTATCTATCAGGTAGAAACATGGGATCCTTCTGCTGCTGTAAAAAGTTCACATGTACATGGGGGTACATAGGGAAGCTGAGTAACCAAAGACATGGGCGGTGCCGGTTAACAACACACTGCCTCAGCCCGATTCACCCTTCAGTACCTGACCTGTGACAGTGGGCAGAATTCCTTCAGGCATTTCTCCTTTACAGTAAACACAGGTACTGTGTGAGTAAACACAGTAGAGGGTGAAAGAGGTTCTCTTGCCATTTCCAGTTGTCGATGGGGGTTAGCACTGTGAGCTGTGATGTGAAAGAATCTAGGAGGTTCACAAACCCAAACATGGAACCAGAATGTAAGACCCCTGAGACTTCCCAGTTCTGGCCTGGCCCACCCTGGAGATGACTAGCTGCTGTCCCCACCTGGACACCATGTGCCCTGACTCCCTTTGATCACGTGCTTTTCCCAGGTCTGGATTCCACAGGCCTGATGCCCAGACCCCCGACACAAAGCCACACACAGCGGGCCTCCTGCCTCTCCAGCAAACTCTGTCCCTCTGCAGGGCTGAGTTGCTGGCCATTGGCGTTAGCCCTCCTTGTTAGCGACTAACACTTTCACTTTAGTTTCACATGTACTGCAAAGTGATGCACTTATATATGTGTGTATATAGACGTTCATCCTTTTTTAGATTCTTTTCTCATATGGGTTATCACAGAATATTGAGTA